GGCAGGCCAAAACGGTCCCAGTCCTCTGAGCGACCGGAAATGACGGTCTCTAGTCGTGCTCAGTGCACCTATCCTTTTTGCTGTCTTTGGGGGTTACTCTTAAAATCTAGTGCGTGCAGAATTAGGGGTACCCTGAGTTCTCATAATTCCTGCAGCCCGGTCATCCCAAAGCACTGTCAAAACGCGGACTTAACCCAAAGCCTAAACCCCTAAACTGCCGTTTTCAGGCGGCGCACTACTTGTGGCCGCTTGACAGCGCGTGCAGCGGCGACGACGAGACGATTGAGTGTGTGTCTTGGTGGTCTCAGTTCGGGGCGGGCGTGCCAGAGTTGCAGCGGTGCGCTCTTCGGGTGATGCACATGTGGTCTTGCGCCTCTCCAGCGGAGAGGAACTGGGCAGTCCACGAGGGCATTCACACGAAGAAGCGCAACCAGTTGGCCTTCGAGAAGGTCGTTCAACTCGTTGAGATCACCGCAAATGTGCGGTTGACGAAGTATCGGCGGGTTGGATGCGGTTAAGTGCTGCCATGGCAGGGGGACGAGGGCATGCTGGATTGCCAGGCAGGACTCGAGGTGGAGCTTGTGTGCACGGGCATGGGTAGGGGGAGGACGAGGGAGGAGATTGCCCGTCAGGTTGCGCTTATTACCCGGGATCTGTGTATCTTTTTAACGGAGAACGGGCGGAGTTAAACGCCCGAACACCCGTTTAACGGGCCCCAGGACCCCCCTTGAATCACGTTAAACGCAAAAACGGGGGCGTCGCGTCGAATTCCAAAAAACGGAATTCGCGCGTTGGGCCTCGGATACGTGTGCCTACGTGCCCGAACAATCAAACCGGGAAAAATAAAATAAAATTCACCCCCAGTTATCACCCCCCCCACACAACCCTAAAGGCCCAAAAAACCCCTATCTGACCTCAAACACACCCCCGGATCCCATCCCCCCAATTAGCCCCACCCCCAATACCCCTGACCCCCAGCCCCCACTACCCGATGACCCTCCTGAATGCCCCCCTGACACCCCCCTTACCCCCCTTCCCTCCTGAAAGGTACAAGAAACAGTAGTCTACAAGTCGTGTCGTAGCTGCAGAGATACTGTGCTTAAACTGCTGCAACCGACGACACTCTACGAGCACCCTACTGGCACCAGAAGCATACTCTACGAACACCCTACTACTACCAAAATCATACACACCAACAAGTAAAGCACACACACTACCACTAAGTGTCTGACAATAATAAGACAAGACGAGACGACAAAAAAGATAGGATCGCACAACATGACGAAGTACAGTGCGAGTACGGGAGAAGCGGAATGTTGGCCTCATCGGTCAACGACCCTTCTTCCCCTTCCCGCTCTGTCTCCTCGAACCCCCTCCACTGTCGGATGTCGACCTCTTTTCCCTCGTGCGGATGAAGAAGTCCGCGCAGCGGAGCGTGTAGATGCACCCGTCGGTGGGGCTCCTGGGGGAGGTGGGGGCTCATCGTAATCGTCGTCGTCGTCACCATCGGAACCGCTCCTGGTCTGCTCCTCACCCTCATAGTCCTCGTCCTGCTCCCGCACAACCGCATCCGTATCAGGATCATCCTCCTCGATGGTGACAGGGTCTCCTCCCTTTCTCAATACAACAACCCTCGCACTAGCCTCTGCAACCGTCTGCTCACGGCGGGATCCATGAGGCATCCCCAACCCCTCCGCCCCCGAACTCTCTCCAAGTGCAGCGCCTCCCGCTGCAGGCACGGGGCGTGGACGAGGAGGCACTCCATGCTTGAGTGGAGTCTGCTCCTGCACGGCATACGTCGCTGCTCTCAGAGCGTACTCCAAGCTCTCGCTGGACACTCCTCTACCAACACCTCGCTGAGGCTCACAACCCGATGCTGGTACCTCCCTCGCCGCGGTCGTCCTTGCGCCGCGGGGTCCCAAGCCCGGCTGAAGGCGTGCACTGTGCTCCGTGACACGGCGGGTGGAATCCAAATTTATGTCTGTCCTCCCGAATAACGTCGTGTCACTGTCACACATGTCCCGCGGAATTGTTGTCGTGTCACGAATCCTACATCTCCCAGGCGTGTGCGGGGATCAAGAGCCTCTGCCTGTGGGCGACGATGATGGATCACCTACAGGTGGTCTAGGAGGAGGGGGTGGCATGTCTCCTGTGCGTGGCGCTGTCACCTGGATGCCACCCGAAACCCTTGGAACATGTCCCACGGCACGTCCCCCGGTGGAGGTAGACCCAGACCACACGGGCGATGCAGGACCCCATGGAACCGAAGGGATCAATTGAAAAATTCCCACGAGAAATGAAAGTTGAAAAAAAATTCCATAAAAAAAAAAAGTCCTTCATATTTATAAATTATCATTTTCCAACTCTGGCGAGCCACATGCGAATGCTTTTTCAACAGACAAGCATGTTAACCTAAACCATCTCATTGCTGATATGGCTCGGCTTCCGAACCATACGTGAGACTTTCGCCTCATATGGCTCTTCTTAGAATCTATATTGATATTTGCTCTTGCTTATGGTATGAATTTAATTCAAATGTTTCTGAAACCTAAGACTCCAGTAAATTAGGTCACCATCGAATGGACTCTTGGTGGAACAGAGGCAATTGTGTTAATCTAATCCCGCTTGGAAATGAAAATTGATAGGTCAAGTAACTACACTTTGATAAATCAAGCCTGAGCCTGGAGGCACGAAGTGTTGATTAGATCCGAAGCGAAACGCTTGAGCTTCCAGTCGCCTGGAAGTTCAGACTGTATCATCATCCCATCTTTTATATATGGGATGTCTGGCGTAAAGTCGTTGAGGCTTTACGGTCTTGGACTTCCTTCCCTGCTGATTGTCCGCACCGACGCATTCATTATTGGATACTCGGCGAAGGTTTCATAGAGGGAATAAGAGAAAGTCCTATCCGTCGCGAGAGCGGCGGCGTGCTCTACCAGGCTCTTCCCTTTTGTCGGTGAGCCAAAATAATGTTCAATTTTAATTCTTCCTGGATTTGGTATTATCAGTCATGTGGTTTCTACGTTTTCCAGAAAGCCTGTGTTTGGCTATTTTGGCATGGTTTAATGTTCGTCCAATTCTAGAATTTTTAGTTTTATTTGATAAGTTCCCATCTAAATATGAACTTTCCCTTCCAACTACATCTATTTGTTCAAAATGAAATGAAAGTCTGGACCAGTTTATGAAATATTTTAATTAAATTTTCATTCTACTAAAACAAATATCTAGTAATTTAGATTGGATTAACCTATTTATGATTGAAAATCCTTACTTAGAATGACAGTTCAATTAAAATATTTTATGAACTCATCCAGACTTTCATTCCATCTCTAGCATGCAGTCCAAATAAGAAGGGATACCTTATTCTTGGAATGAAAGTTTGCAAGTAAGATGGAAAATTTTAAAATTGCCATGACATTTTTTAAGATGGAATGAAAATTTGAAATTTAGATTGTAATTTTACTATCGAATGATTATTTAATTATAGGAAAGTTTTCCGTTGATCGCCTGCCATGCTGGATGCTCGAGCCTCTGGTCGAAGATCCGCCGGTCCAATCGGGTAACATCGCGCACAGCCTCTCTCGCCAACTCCTCTGCATCCAAAGGATGACGGACCTCCTGCGGAGCAAAGTGGCTAGGAAGACGTAGGGGCACAACAACCGGTTCGGACCCCAAATCCGTGATAACGGGCGGTGGCACACCACACACTGCCATCTGAACCGCCTGCGATTGTCGGACGTGAGCCAAGTGCAGGCCTGAAAACAGAACGACTGCACCCGACGCTGTCTCCTGGACCACACGTCGTACGTCTATAGCCCCTCGTCTCGCCGCTGTCCCGCCTGCACAGCCTCATCCACCGCCTGTGGACGTCCCTCCACAGCAACGTCCGTTGCCTCTGCTCCACCCGGCAATGCCTCATCGACCGCCTCTGCTGCCACTCCCTCCGCAACGTCCTCCCTCGCCATCACCCCACCCTGCACACAATACCCCCTCTGTCTCTCGAAGCCTGGCCTCCTCCAAGGCCCGTGCGAACACCTGAGCACGCGGGTCACTCGATGCCAAAAGTCGAGCCCTCTCTCGCTCCATGATGCCGCGTGCTGCATCTGGAGACTCAGTCGTCATCTTCTCCCTCGGAGTCTGCGTGAAAGTTTGTCCTGCCGCCTCGTCCCTTGATAGAGCCTGATCCGTCGATGTCGCCCCGCCACAACTAGGTGGAAGGCCCATCGACAAATCAAAGTCTAAGGGGGTCCCCATCTCCGAATCCGAAATCCCAAGCCCCCTCGCCACACCCGGGGTCATACCCGCTATGACCGGACCGAGCTCCTCTGTGAGGAACTGTTGCATGAGGCGCTCGTCATCGCCCCCACGCTGCACCTTCGCCTGTGCGGCTATCTCCTCCTCCACTAGTCCTACCACCCCCCCTCCATTGCAGCTGCCGACGGTGCCTCCTCCTCCTCCACTGCTACTGCCTCCTCCACCTCCACTGCTGCCGCTCCTCCAGCTGCTCCTCCTGCTGCTGCCACCTGCCCATCCACTGTTGCTGCTCCTCTTGCTGTCGGTGCCACCTCCTCCTCCAACATTGATGCTGCCAACTCTTCCAGCACTGCTGCTGCTGCTGATGATGCTATCTCGTCCACCGCGGTTGCGATCGTCGTGTCCCCCCCTCCACTGTTGCTGCCGACGGTGCCCCCTCCTTCTGCAATATCCCCGGGGAAGGTGATCGTAACCTCAGCTGCCGGACTGCCCCGCCTCTTTGGAGAAGTCCGTGCTGAGGCAAAGAGGACCCCAACTCCTCCGTGTCCGCCGTTGCCGTGGCCGGTTGAAGTGGCGAGACGGGCGATGGTGGTGCAGGACTCGGAGCAGGAGGTGGCGGCATGGATGACTCCCGCCTCGTCGGAGTGGGGGTCGTCACCCACGCGTATGTGCTGCCCGTGGAAGCGACCTCCCCGAATGGGCCCCAAAGCTCCTCCTCTCCCCCCAGCATCTCCCTGTCCGCCCGGTCCGCCGCCCGTCGTGCAGTGTTTGCCCTCGTCTCCTTGGAGTCGGGATCGTCGTGTGTCTCGTCGATCTCATGGGGAATGCGGAGCGCAGGGTCATCTGCCGCCTCGGGCACTGGCTCCTCGTCCGAGTCGTCCTCCCTCGGGTAGGAACGAAAAATGCAAGCACGTTTACCGAAAACGGCATCAGCAGAGGGTGGTGCGGAGGCCCCGATGGGATTTCGGGTAATAAGCGCAACCTGACGGGCAATCTCCTCCTCCGTCATCCCCCTACGCATGCCCGTCCGCACAGGCTCCGCCTTGAGTCCTGCCTGGCAATCCAGCATGCCCTCGTCCCGCTGCCATGGCAGCACATAACCGCATCCAACCCGCCGATACTCCGTCAACCGCACAACTGGTTGCTCTTCTTCATGTGAATGCCCTCGTGGACTGCCCAGTTCCTCTCCGCTGCTGGAGAGGCGCAAGACCACATGTGCATCACCCGAAGAGCGCGTCGTTGCAACTCTGGCGCGCCCGCCCCGAACTGAGACCACCAAGACGCACATTCAATCGTCTCGCCGTCGGCGCTGCACGTGCGCCCTCGAGCACGCCGAACCTGCCCTGCTGAATGTGGAAGTGCTCAAACTGCCGACATGCAAGGATGTAGTCCGCACCCTCCAACTCGAAACCCGTCTACGTCAGAATGTACCTCTTGGCTTGCCCCACAAGCCAAGCGTGGTACCGATCAACCTCGCCCGAAAAGTAGCGAACGTGTTGCCTGTGGGGGTTCAGTAAGAACCCTGCGTAGTGAGTCGGCCCAAGCATGTGCTGTGTGCGAGCCTGCACATGCCTGATGATCTGATCGGCGAATGACTTCCTCAAAGGGGCGCATGCGTCCGTGACACGGCGAACAAGATCCTGTGTCTACTCGATCATCAGGGACATGTATTGTCCTCCACGATCTATCCGCCTAAGCAACTCCATGACGGACTGCATGATATGGACGATGGTGGCCACCATCTGCCACCATGGATCCCATCTGATATGTCGGCGTACCCAACGAGCCATGACGCACACGTCGGCGGACCACGGGATGGGAGCAAAAACCCGCGCATCATCCCCTCGCATCATGTCCTGCAAAGTGTCCTGCAGGGCCAACAGCCTCTCCAGCATGGAATAAACAGACGTGAACCGCGACTAGCAAGAAAGAATAAGGCCCTTGTTGGGGCTGCGCGTCCTAAAACAATGAAGGGCGGCCTGGTGGGTTTTGAAAAACACCACCAGCACACGAGCACGTGTGATCGCATCCACAAACGCGTCGCAACTCGTCCGCATGTCTGACAGCAATTTGTTGTAGACACGGAAGGAGCACCGGAGCCAAGTGATCCTCCCCAGTGCAAGAGGCATGGACGGCGAGGTCAATGCCCTTGCAGCCCCCACGTAAGCAGAAGCAGGAATCAGTGCATATCGCATTGACCCACTGTGGGCCGCCGAAGCTGAACTCGTGGAAGATGGTAACCCATCTCCAAAGAACTTGAACTGCATCATCCGGATCGCCCTCTCGATTGATCATCGTGTACACGACAACCCCTCGCGAGCCAGCGACAAGGAAATTCACGATCGGTCTCTTGTCTCGTTATTTCCTCCCATTGGAGAGGAGGGTGGCACCTGTCACCCTGAATGGCTGCCTCACCTCCTCCAACTCCTCCGCCAGCTCCGCACGGTGGGTCTCCACCGCCCACATATTCGCGATCTCAATGTGGTTGGGAAGCACAGCACGCGGGGAACTACCAGGCTGCTCAAGAAGCACCTGTTGATATGCCTTCCAAGCCTGGTTGCGGAAGGCATTAAAGGAGACCCCGCTGGAATAGAGCCAGCGAAGGAATGCCTAATTGTGGCGAGCAACCCACTCGCCACCGTAAAAATCAGTCATCTTCTGCTGGCGAAGCCTCTTTCCTGCTGGGGTGGGAGCCGAATCACTTCCTCCTTCCTTCCTCTTGGAAGACCCCTCCGTTGCAGATCCCTTGCTTGCTCGCCTCCACCAATCCTCCATCCTCTCCCTAGTGCCTGGATGAAACTCTGGCTCATCCTCGTATTCTGAGACTCCCTCCTCGCCCGGGCCACGCGCCTCGCGATCGACGTGGATCACGCCCTCCTCCGTCTCACCGCCTCCAACCCCCAAAGGGGGGTCTGGCGCACCATGCCCACCATCTCCTTCGACCCCTCCCTCCACCGGACGACGCCCCGCCTCTCCTCCCCTTGCACCACCCGTGTCGGGCACATCGAGTCCGCGCTCCACTGCATACCTGGCAACCCTCTCCGTCTGATCGGCCTCAAACTTCTGTTGAGTCTGTCGCGCGATCTCGTACAACGCCTCGTCGCTGATGTCCTTGCAGTAGTTTGTCTGTGTGAAGTGCCTCGTGGCCTGAAATTGGGTCCCTTGGAAAACTTTGTTGCAAAACGTGCAACGGAGCATTATGACCCCCTTGTTGTCGACCTTCTGGCCAACAACCAGGTACCGATACACAGGAGAGCGGGCCCTGAATGTGTCTTGCACATGGTCCGCGACAGGCTCATGCTGGCGGCGCTGTGCCCACCCCATGTCGACGACCCTAGCAAGACAATCCTCGCTGACTCCCACCGACCGCACCGCTGCAACCCAACCCCCGTTAACCGCTGCCCGCCGCAGGGTCCCCCTTTCCCCAACTCCCTCGCACCCCCCTCTGTACGCCAC